ACCATAGACAAATCAGAACATAATTTTTAAAATTTTTTTCTTTTCCATTATGCAGTAGTCTTCTCTGAGCTGAAGTGACCTTAAATGAAATGAATTTCAGTGAAGATGTCACCACATATTCTGGTGCTGGCAACTGCAGACACTGTAGAAGACTTCCTGAAGCTTGTGGGTACACCTCACTAGAGTGGAGAGACCCGTCTAGTCATCTTACTGAGCTGGGTGCACCTCTGTTTTGAGCTTCTTACAGACCTAGCTTTGTATCTGCAAAGTAGAAACAGTAAGATTGTCTTCTTTCTACCTTACAGGGAGGTTGTGAGTAACAAAAGGAATGCATTTTTTAAGATTTTGTTAAATGTAGACAAACAACTTTAGCTGTACATTAGAATTATGGTAAAGTTTTTTTTTTTTGTCACTCTAAGGACTGGTGCATTATGTCCTAGGAAGCAGAACAGGTTTTCGATATTGACTGAAAGGTTCCTAGGCTCTGCCGCCCAAACAAGCTTACCTTTTAGGTTGTTAGAGATAGCATAGTACGAAGAATTATCCATAAATTAATTTGTACCATTGCTAGATCTTCATGGAAGATGAAGCGTGGTAATCATTTTGCAATATATATAAGAACCTTAAGATCTCTGTTATCGGCTATCAAATATGCAAAATCGTATTGTTAATAATAGGCACCATGCTGTAAATTACAACCCCAGAACTCATTTAACTTATAACTGAACATTTGTAGCTTTTGATCACCTTGACCCATTTCCCCACCCCCTGCCTCAGGCAGCCACCAGCCTGTTCAGTTTCTAAGAGTTTCTTTTTTGAGCGTCCACATATAAGCGAGGTCATATAGTACTTGCCTTTGTCTAACTTATTTCACGTAACATAATACTATCTAGGTCCATTTGTATGTCTTTGGACAAATGTCACGTTGTCACAAATAGCAGGATTTCCTTCTTTTTATGGCCGGGTAGTATTCCAGTGTGTACGTATACTACATTTTTTAAATGTATTCATCTGTCGATGGTTGCGCAGGCTGTTTTCACGTTCTGGCTGTTGTAAATAACACTGCAGTGTACCATGGCGGTACACATCTCTCTGAGATAGTGACTTTGCTTCCTTCAGGTGAATAGCCAGAAGCAGAATTGCTCAATCACATGGGAGTTGCTTTTTTGAGGAATCCCCATGCTGTTTTCCATGGCCGCTGTATCATTGACATCCCCACGGACAGTGCAGTAGGGTTCCCTTTCCTCCACGTCCTCACCAACACCCCTCTTCTTGGCGACACACATTCCAATAGGTGTGAGGTCATAAATACCTCGTGTGCTTTTCATTGCCTTGTCCTGATGGTTAGTGGTATTGACCACCTTTTCATGTACTCGTCCGCATCGTCGGTCATTTGTATGTCTTTGGACAAATGTCTGTTTAGTTCCTCTGCCCATTTTTTAATCGGATTCTTTGGTTTTTGCTATTGAGTTGTATGAGTTCTTCATATGTTTTGGATATTAATCCCCTCATCAGCTATATGAGTCACAGATGTTTGCTTCCATCTTCTAGGTCGCTTTTTCATTTTGTTAACGGTTTCTTCTGGTGTGCAGAAGCTTTTTAGTTTGATGTGGGTAATTCCACTTGTTTTTCTTGAATTGCCTTTGTTGTCAAATCCAAAAAAATTGTTCTCAAGGCCAGTGTTAGGGAGTTACTGCCTGTTTTCTTCTAGGAGTTTTATGATTTCAGGTCTTACGTTCAAGTTTTTAATTGGTTTTGAGTTTGATTTTCATGTAGGATGCAAGATACTGGCCCAATTTCATCCTTTTGCACGCGGCTCTCCAGTTTTCCAAACACCATTTACTGAAGACTGTCCTTTCCCCATTGTATATTCATGGGTCCTTCGTCAAAAATTAATTGGCCATAAATGCCTGGCTTTATTCCTGGCTCTGCATTTTGTCTGAGCTACGTGTCTTTTAATGCCCATAGCACGCTGTTTTGATTAACACAGCTTTGTAGTATACTTTGAAATCAGAAAGTGTGCTGCCTCCAGCTTTGTTTTTTTTTTCTTAGACTGCTTTGGCTATTTGGAGTTTTTTGTGGCTCCATACAGATTTTAGGATTGTTCTACTTTTGTGAAAAATGCCATTGGGATTTTGATAAGGATTGCATTGAATCTGTCCATTGCTTTTAGTACTATGAAAATTTAACAATATTAATTCTTCCAATCCGTGAGCTTAGAATAGCTTTCCATTTATTTGTGTCTTCTTCAGTTTCTTTCATCCGCATCTTACGGTATTCAGCAAATAAATCTTTTCACCAACTGGGTTGAATTTATTTCTAAGTATTTTCTTTTTTATGCTGTTGTAAATGGGATTATTCTTTTTCTGGTAGTTCATTATTAGTGTATGGAGATGCAAGTGATTTTTGTATATTTTGTATCTTGCAACTTTACGGAATTTATTTATTAGTTCTAATAGCTTTTTGGTGGAGTCTGTAGGGTTTTCTATTTATAATATCCCGTCATCTGTAAATAGAGACCATTTTGTGTGATTTGAAGCCTCTCGTTTCTTTTTCTTGCCTGACTGCTCTAGCTAGGACTTCCAGTACTATATTGAGTAGCATGTTATTTCAGTGTCTACATATATATGAGTTTTCCAGTTTTCTTCTTACAATTGATTTCTAGTTTCTTATCATTATGGTCAGAAAAGATACTCGATATGATTTCAGTCTTAAATTTACTAAGATTTGTAACCTAACATATGATCTGTCCTGGAGAATGACCATATGTGCATGAGATGAATACGTATTCTGCTGCTATTGAGTGCAGTGTCCTGTAACTGTCCATCAAGTCTATTTGTACTAATGGCTCGGTTATGCCTCATGTTCCCTCACTGACTTTGTCTATCCGTTGCTAAAAGCGAGGTATTCAAGTGTTTCCTACCATTATTGTGTTGCCATCAATTTCTTCAAGTCTTAATATTCGCTCTATATACTTAGGTGTTCCTGGGTTGGTTGCATATTTACATTCCTCTTGTTGGGTTGATCCAGAATAGTACATAATGACCTTCTTTGTCTCTTGTTACACTCTTTGAATAGAAGTCTGTTTTGTCTGACGTAAGTGTAGCTACTCCTGCTTCTTTCAATTTCCCTCTCCACGGAATCTCTCTCTCTAACCCTTCACTTCCAGTCTGCGTGTGTCCTTCAACCTAAGGTGAGTCTCTAGTGTGTGGCATGTATTTGGGTCTCCTTGGCTTATCCATTCAGCCACTCCGTGTCTTTTTATGGGCAAATTTCGTCCACTTACATTTAAAGTAATTATTGATAGGTGTAAACCAGCTTGAGGGGGTGGTCTCGTGTAGGAGATGAACCTTGCTGTTCGGCCAGGCCTTGGCTCTTGGCTGTCTCTCAGACTTTTGTGACTGTCCAGCCACTGTCTTTGTGCTTAGTGGGTCCCGTAGGTGAGAGTGTGCCAAGCTCTGCGGATGTCCTAAAGGGGAAGACCTCAGTCAGTACTGAGGTGAAGACTGACTTTCCAGAAGCTGGGCTCTCACCCAGCAGCTCTTTAAGTATTCAGGCAGATCCTTCACGGAACTGCGAGTGGGGCATTATTGTCTGTTTCCTCTGCACTGAGCTCCGGGGGAATAGCCAATTAAGAACTTTATTTTTTGCTACAATTCAGATATGCTAAAAGGCGTCTTTCAGGGAAAGACATGAGCTGGGCATCTCTGTCTGCCACCTCAACACTGAGCCTTAGAAGGATAGCTGGTTAAAAACTTGTGGGTCTTGCAGACACCAGCCCCGTTGGCTTTCAGAGCTAGTTGTCTTGGGGAGGACCGTCCCTCAGGTGGAAGTCTTAAATGTTGGGGTGCTAGATGTTGGGTTCTAACCCTTCACTCCTCAGAAGGGAGTTGGGAGTTCCTTCCTGTCTGTATGTCGCTGTGCCAGAGGTGTGCTTAATGGCCAGAGTGCGTCTCGGCCTTTCCTACACCTTCTATGTGGGTTTTTCTCTCATTCACACGATATGTAGGAGTCAGTCGCTTGGCTAGTTTCTGGATTTCTTTCGGAGGGAATTGTTCTGTGTGTAGCTGTAGATTGTGTGCATTGGAGGAGGTGAATTTAGGAGCCTCCTGTATGGTCATTTTGGACCAGAAATTCGCTTCATACATCTTAAAACTCGATAATTAGGGGCATATGTGTTTAAGATTAGGTATATCGTCTGGATTTACTAAACCTTTTGTTATGAAATACCTATCTCTAGTAATACTTCATCTTGAAGTCTCCTTTCTTAACATTTGCATTTTCTGTCGTTTTTTAAAATAAACTATCAGTATCTACATTTTTATGATTCTCTTGTAAACACCATATTGTTGAAGCTTGTTTTTTATTCATTGTGGCGGTATTTGCATTTAAATGGGTAATGCTTAATCCATTTACATGTTATATAATTATTGATATGGTTGGGTTGAAGTCTCATCATGCTTTTCTCTTTGTCCCATCTGTTCTTTTTTTCTTATTATCTGGCTTCTTTTGGCTTAATCAAAATTTTTTTTTTTTTTTAGTATTCCATTTCATTGCCTCTATTGGCTTTATAGCTACACCTTTTAAATTTTTTTAGTAGTTGATATAAGGATATGTAGTCTTACTGCAGTCCAAGTAAATAACATACCACTTCCTGTATAATGCATACATCTTATAAATGTGCGTGCCAGTTTATCATTATTTGTGCTATAATTATATATTTTACTTTTACATGTCCTAAATCTTAGTTTTTTAGTTCCCGTTTTAAATTGTTTCTGGTTAAACACTATTATTTTCTTTTCAACAGTCAATTGGATTTTAAATTTAAGGAATTTAGAAAAATCATTTTAATTTTTACCTCTGGCACTCTTTCGTTCATGTAGACGTGTGTTTCGTCATATTATGTATCTTTGATGTGAGAACTTTCTCTAGCATTTCTTGTTCTTCAGGTCTCCTGTCATCAGTTTTTCTCAGCTTTCATTAAATTTAAAGGATATTTTCACTGGATACAGTTTTAGTTTGAGAGCTTTTTTACTTCAGGACTTTAAAGAGACATTGTTCCATTGTCTTGTTACATTTTTTTTGGTCAGTTATTTTTATATTAGTTCCCTGTTATTTTTTTTCCTGTGCTTAAGATTTCTCATCTTTGTTTTTCAGCAGTTTGTGGAGTGCATACGTGTGGTTTCCTTTTTTATTTATCCTGTTTGCAGTTTGAGTTTCTTGGATATGTATTTCAAAATCAAATTTGGAAAATTCTTTTATTTATTCATGTATATTTTTCTGCTGCAGTCTTTTTGGATTCCAGTTACATGTTATTTATTTCATGTCATTCAGTTTGGTTATTATTTTTTAATCCTTTTACCTGTACTTCAGTTTGGATAGTTTCTATTACTTTGTCCTCAAGTTCATCGATCTTTGCTCTGGCAATGTCCTGTATGTTTCTACACTTACTTAGTGAATTTTTCATCTAAGGATGTATTTTTCGGCTGTGGAATGTTCATTAGTTTACCTTTCTTCTGACAGTCACCACTTATTCACTCACTGTTAATCTTTTCCTTTAATATTTTTGAATGTATTTATATAGTAACCTTTAAAAGTTTGTCTACTGATTCTAACATCTGTGTCTACTCTGGATCTGTTTTCAGTTTTTTTTTTCTCCTGGTTATGTCACATTTTCTTAACACCTAATAATCTGTTTATTTTATGTTAGTGATACGGATGCTATGATTCTGCAGAGTGTGGATTTTGCTGTCTTCTTAGATCGTCAGTTTTGTGCTGGCAGGCAGTTTACTGGCAGATCAGCTTGATCCTGTTGATGCTCAGTGTCAGGCTAACGTGGATTTAGAGTAGACACATTCCCAAGGCCTGACCTTTTTGGGTCTCAGTTACATGTGTGGGTGTTTGGCAAGGTCTTGCTTCTCTGGCTGGGCGCAACTCCAATGCCTTACGCACTATACACCTCCACGATGTCCATTCAGCCTCTTCTTACAGTTACTGGTCTCTGCCAGGCCTCTTGGGTTGTCGGATTTAAGGAAATTATAATGCAGATTTCTGGAGCTGCTCCTCAGGGCAGCTCCGTCCTCTCTGGCGCCCTGCTCATCAAACTCCGGCAGGACCCTGAACTGTGATGTTTTCCCCCCAGACATCCCACTTCCGGTGTTTGGAAGGTGGCCTCGGGCAGGAAGTCAGAATGATTGTGGACCTCACTTCTCGTTTCTTCTCTTAAATATCAGTTCAGGGCTTCTGTCCACTGTGTGAAAACATTGCTTTATGTTTTCCCCCCCAATATTTGATTACAGTTAAGGGGAAGTTCAATTCCCAGTAATCTACCATAACTGAAACTAGTAGGCTCTCCTTTTAATTTTAAATTCGAAGGTTATTTTTCGTTCTTTGTACGTGTTATCAGTTACTTTTTTGCCTTGCTGCCTCCCCAAAGACACCATTTTTCTTGACTAGCCTGGCAGTGGGTAGGGGAACATTCAAAACAAGCAGATCTGTTTAATTCTTACTCCACATACTCTTTACCAGGTTAGGTTTAGCGACCCTGGTCCCCCTTTTTACCCTAGGAATTTACAGTGTAGTTTTTTAAAGACTGTGATGTGGTCTGATCACAGTGGCTTATGCAGTAAGCAGCCCTGGAAGCAAATTCGATTTTTTAAATGACCTTTAAATTCAGTCTGGTTTTGTTTCATTCTGGGTGTCTCAGTGTTCCAGAGGCTGGGACTTCAGTGCTTTCATTTAATAGCACAATTTATTTAGAATTTTTCACCATTTTCCATTGACTACATAATATCTTCAAATACCTTTCAGTCTGATTTTTTAAATTAACTAGAATTTTCCACGGAAACATATTACATGATAAAACTTGAGGTTTTCAAAAAAGTAAAGTTGAACTAAGTTCACATACTCAGACTGCCTAAAACACTTAGAAGTAGCTTCTCTTATTTTTATTGCATTATTTTGAAAATCCTGAAGAGATTCTTCTGCCTTTTAAACCTTCTGTCAGGAGCTAAGGCTTTTGAAAGATGAAGGAGATGCCCACATCGTGGTCTGACAAGTCAGCTGGATAGTGCTTTTTCCCTCTCTGACTAGCTAGTTGACACTGAAGAATAAGGAATGATTTAGAATTCTGGGACAAATATTAATCAATTTAGGAGTACAAAAGTACAGGAAAATGCTTTAATGTTATATGCAACACAGGACAGCTAGGTTTGAGAGGTAATTGAGAAATAGGAAGGTTACTGAAGGTGAAATTTTCACCAGGTTTATTCAGGGCCTTCATGAAGCTTTATTTTCCCTAAAGTCTTTTTTTTTTCTTTTTTTTTGGTGAATAATCTCATTACATAAATACTATTGGATGGGTAAGAGCAAACATTTGAGACCCAGGGGATTGTCCACGGTCTTGTCCTTCACTATCCTAGAAACCATCTTTATAATGATGTCATTTTCAGTTTAAAGGTGACATTAAGAAAAAACATCCAGTCCAGCTCATTCAGATCTCAAAAGAACAGGCAAGCAAAGAGTGCTCAGTTGCAGTGTAGTCAGAGGGTGTTATACCATTTCCAGCAGATGTGAAATTAACCTGAAAAAAGTTAGCATTATAATAAACTAAAACTGAATCATATCATAAAATCGTTAAACTTAACCAAACATGACAGTCATCAAGAATATAAGAATTGATCAGTTTATCTGAAACAGCTAATTGTAGAGGCAAGTATATTCTAAATGATTCTATTTTAAGGTGAATTATGATCCTGTAAACATAACACTGCAAAAAGCTGGACAGAAAAATATGTACACTTTAGTCCATTTTTTAATACTAAGAAAAAAGAGAATTAGATGTTTAAAGACACATTCCAGATGAAATAAATTCTAAGAGAGCAAGCAAGCAAGAGAATGAGAAACTCAGTTTGCCATGGAGAACTTCAGGAAAGTCTTCTAACTAAAAGTTCTGAGGATTTGTATGAAAATACAGATATTAAGTATATCTAAATAAATATACACCAAGATAGAGCATACAGTTCAAACAATAACCGTAGAATGAGATGCTATGTCATCTATAACAAATTTCAGACTAATCTTGGGAATGGAAATGTTTTAACCTAATTTTCAGTATTAATCTTTAATAATTCTGGCAATACCCAAATAGTATTACAATATTAGAAGTACTTATGCCCCAAAACCTTAGTTTCAGTGACAGAAATTAACTCAGTGTTCACAAAGAGATGGGTAGTTCCAGTCACATTTATTTATTTGCAAGTAATATTAAGTGTTATGCTAATTAAGTAGAGAATAAATCTCCAGAAAATACTTGGCAAGCTCCTGGCTATCTAAGTGTTTGCCAACATTATTGGACCATTTTAAAATTATTAGAAGCTAAGAATACGAAGTATCTGTCAAGCTTTCAACAATAAAAAAATATTCTTAAAAGATCATATTTGGTAATAAGTTTGATTTATACAATTGGTAATTTCAAAATAAATCAAACCTGAGTTAAATGCCTGTCTCCAGCCCACCTCCAGCATAATACCTCGCATCCCATTTTCTTTTAGACCAGTGTGTCTCCTACTTAAACAGCACACCTATTCCTTGAGGATCCCGTTAAGATGTGGTTTCTGATTCAGCAAGTCTGTCCTGGGGTCTGAGAGTCTACACTTCTAACAACTGTTACAGATGAAGCTGAGGCTGGTCTTCGGACCGCCCTTCGAGGAGCAAGGTGACCCAATACGTAGTAAGGAGAATTTCCGGTCTAATGACTGTGCGGTTTTATAGGTGTAGGCTGTAATATTTTGGAGTCAATCATAACAAATAACCAGAAATGATCACAAAAAGTACCTCTTGGAAGAAAAGAATGTTTTAGTTAAGTGAGAGCATAAAGTATACCAAATCAGCAGTGTTTCCATTTGGCTGACAGCCACACCTTCGATACATTACAGTATAAATCAGAACACCAAGTCCTTGTAACTCTAAAAAATAATTAGTATAGCCTGAAGCTCTCTTCCCGTTAATTCAAGTCCAGAAAATTCAATCCAGTACACTGCAAAAACACTATTAAAAATCTTTAATGATGAACTGTCCATGTAAATGACTTGGAAAGCGCTTTAAGCTACCCCATCTCCTCTTTCAACAAATAAATGCTTTTTCTTCTGTCTTGTAGCTAAACAGCGTGTAACACCCAGTGCCCCTCCCTTTAAAAATCGAACAAAATTGTCACCGACTAAAGGACCCAATGCAAAAAGGTGTGCTTCTTGAACACACTCGTAGGTATACGGGTCTATTTCCACAGGGTTCCCCTTACACGTGATCGGCTGGCTTGAGTTATGGCCCAGGTAACAGCCCTGCTCCTTCAGAAAAGACAGGTTGGGATGAGAACCTATCAGCACTACTGCTGCAGACAGTTTAAATATTTTCTTCAATCCGGAGACGCTCTGAAGAATGCATTTCATGTCCGACTTAAAGGAAAGCACGTGGTGCTCAGGAAAACTGGTGTAATCAGATAAAAGATTTGAATCTGCAGAGTAGGACTGAGTACACATCATGTGATATACTTTATGGTATTCGGGATAAAGCTTTTTGGGAAGCTGTTTGAAAATTAAACTTGGATCTGTTGCTCGTCTGCGAAACACATGAATCACAGGGATGTTACTGTTGTAAGCGCACAGCACCGCGTCGGCTGCAGTGAGCCCAGAGCCCACAATTAACACTGGGTCCACTTTGCCGCGCAGCTTCCCTTTGCTCACAGCCGCTCCGAATTCGGGCATCGAATGAAACACAAAAGGGAAGTCTTCGCCTTCGATCTGCAGGTGTGCAGGAGAGTCCAGCGTTCCGGTTGCCAGAGCGACATTCTCGGCGAAGAGACAGAACGGAGCATGGGAACCATCTGCTACTCGCTGATAGCCCCGGATCTCCCAGTTTCTCCTGGTGAACTTTGACTTCTCGATCTGTAGACGCTGTGCCGCAACATCTCTGTCTTGACCGTCACTGCCGTCCGGACCTCTGTAGAGTCTCGACACAGAGGTAATGTGCGTGTTCTCCCTGAAATTCTTCTGGAGACCCATGGCTTTCACATAGTGCTTATAGTAGCGAGCCACTTCCTCTGGCAAAACCCGGTCCGCTTTTAGGTTCCTAGCCAAGGAGAAGGGAAGACACCCTGTGAGGACGGGTTACTGCCGCTCCATCTAGGAAGCTGCTCCAGCTTTTTAATTCCCCTGAATTGTCTTAGCTATGAATTATCCTAACAGTTTACAAAGAAAGAAAGTTTTTCTCTTTAGTTAAAAAGGGGAAGCCCCACGAGGGTAGAGACTATTGAACGCATCTTTCTTTCTCTGGCGTCTTACACGGTAGCCGTTCGGATTAGCTGCCTCTTATTTAATAAGCTTTTATTAAATAAAGGTATTTAAATATGGATATATGAAAAGTATTTTATAGTCTCACGAATATAAATAATTACCTGTAACTATACGTACGGACAAAATTATTTAGGTCAGAATTATAGAGATATTACAGGTCTAATTGCAATACGTATACTTCTTAAAGATACTCCGGACCTCTTGACAGTTTTTAGTAAGTTGCTTTCTATTTTCTTAATGATCACAAAAAATAAGTCTTCTGCTAAACCGTTTTACATCTAAGTACATAAAATACAACATTTCTGTTTTCCTACTCATGAAGAGATTATATACCTTATAAATATGTGCATTAATATATTTTTCATTTTCCACTTGAATTTTAAAACAATGGGCATTAGCACCCCCTCTAAACACTGTGCCCCAATGAGAGATGAGCGACAGGAAAAACATACCAAATCCTTTTGCGAAATTAATTATAACATATTTGGAAGAAGTTCATAAAAATTTTTCTTCTTAAAGTTTAGTGACTATAATAGTTAAGATTTAGAATGTATGAACTTTCAGTTTTTACAGAAATCCTATGTAGCAGTTACTACCACTGTTATCCCCCCGCGCCCCCCATTTCACATGCCAGGAAACTGATGGGCAAGTTTATCTGACCAGGGTCCCAACGTCAGAAATTACGGAGTCAGGATTCAAACCCTGCCAATCTCTAGAGATCTAAGAGTCTTCTCTTAACACTATACAAAGGAGAACTAAGGGTAATACTTACCAAGAGATCCCTTTTCATATATTCTATACACAATATCCCCAATTTAGAAGGATGAACTCTTCTGGTACATAAAGCACAAAGCTTTCTTTTCTTACCCACATCTCAAAGGGATGACTATTGAGCAATTTGGCTTGCTTACTTATGAAATCAAGAACTTGTCCAACTTGCCTGATTGTGTAACTTTACATTTCAAACCCATATAAAATACCTTTTTAAAAACACAAAAGGAATATTGGAGAGATTTAATCTCAGTTTACCCGTACTGGTCTAAATCTGCTCTCCTTAAATCTTCTCAAGGGAAATTGCTGTGGATTAACGTGGTTTGTTAACATGGTTTCTGTGCAGCAGGAAGTCAAGCTCTGGATGTCGCAGCCCGGTTCTAACAAAGGTTGCGTAACCTCCTGCTGCCAGTTACTGTTTCTATCAGCAGCCAAATTAGAGTAGGTTCTCTGTATTAGTAGCTCCTATCTAGTTTAATGTTTACTATCCTTGAAAATGATAGGGCTTTTCAGATTTCTCTTTTAAAACTCTGAGTTCTTTCTCCCAAGTAGATAAACTTACATTCTTCCAAGTTGACAATCTTCTGTTACTCCTACTTTCTCATTAAATATTTACCTCTATATCCAAGGGGCGAATCACATCACAGATTCTAGTTTATTCCATCATTCTCAGTTATTAATCATACACACTCTTCTGCTCTGAAAGTCAAGCACTTTAGGTATGTGTACGAGATCTACACACATGAAGTTCTCTGTCCATTCAAAAAATAAGTGAATGTGGAAAGGATATGTGGGTGGACGAGAAAGTAACTGAACAGAGTGGTTTAATGGGACGGAGTAAATCCATCATCAGAAGCACAGAGGAACCCAGTCTCCACACAAGCCCTCACTCACCTCTGTGCTTCATTTACGTGTCTAAGTGGGGACTAGCTTCATCACTGCTGCAGAGAGGCTTTTAATTTGGCAGACATACTCATTTATGTTATTCATCTAGGACAGGAGCACAAATATTTTGAAATGTGCTGACACTCTTCCCATTGTACACCAAAGAATTTTAATAGTTTGGTCTTTACCTTCGTTTACTAGACATCCAGTCTTTAAATTTAAGTCCAGGTAGCTCCATCCAATTTCCAAAGCTGATTGTCAACATGGAGCCTTCCATATTCTATTTGAATAAAAAATGTACAATCAAAAAACACACTTAAGCAGTGAACATGGATTCTTTTTTGAACCAAACCTATCTCATTTACTAAGAGTCTGGATAAGTAGAGCTCAGAGTCCTAAATGGTTGTGTAAATTACTTCTCAAAAGTTTATTCCAGTAAACTTTCAAATCTCGCTTTCATCATTTAGTGTATCTACACTTCTTCTTTCATAGTTATACGTTTGTAAACAAATTTACATTACCCAATACTACACGATGTTGATAGCTTTGCCTATAATCAACATGATAATTAAGATGCAGAATTTCACGTTAGAGAAACAAATCAATATTTTCGCTTTTTAAACAAAAGGAAAAATGTTCATTAATTTCCATACTTTGGATGCCTTCCCATCTTAACATTGATAGATTTTTTAATGGCAGAAGTACCCCCCACCCCCATCAATTATAATAGTAAAGTCCAAGCTGGTTTGGCTACAGCACGCATCTCCTACAACTTGGCAAAGCATCGGTGCCTGGCGGAGAACACACTCCCTGCTCAGAGTGCTGCCTCCACGGGAGCGAGCCCTTCCAGCTGCAGTGTCCTGCTGGCTTCTGCGCTGCTCAGTACAAAGGAAAGCCCAAGGGCCAGCAGCACCTGTCCCAGTGACAGGTGATCTCTTTCAACCAGCTTTTTCTCTCTTAACTCTTGCCCTGTTTCTGTACAGCCCAGCACTGGGAACAGGACTTACTATTACTGGCCAGCATTTACAGAACACTTACTATGTGCTAGGCCTTATGGAGCCTATTATTCATGACAGTACGTAGATCACAGGCAGAGGACGCAGCAAGCTGCCTGAGGCAGGCTGGGCCTGATCCTAGGATCAGGGCTAAGATGAAAAACTGGGATCATCAGAAGGGGGGCTGTTAAGATTCTGTTACATATCAGAAGTTATCTGGAGCCGCAAGCATCTCATCTGGAAAGCCTGAGTACCTACATTACAGTGTCATTCCACGATAAGGAAATGGCAGGACGCCAATGATAAAGCTGATTAGTTTTAAGCAGTTGAGTTTGACAGCACCCGTGGAACAGCTGCAGAAATGCATCTAGTTGGCTACAAGACCAGCGATCTGGGCTGGAGACTCCGGTTTTGGAACCAAGCGGCATTGACATGCAAGTCACTGAAGTGTGAGACAACCCAGGGACAAGAAAAAGTTAAAGACCTCGGCTTGGGACAGAGCAGTACAGAAGCACAGTTTTAAAGAACAAGAGCCCACAGGGGAACTGAGAGTGACCGAACAGGAAGCAAAACAAAGATGAAAGAATCTAAGAGTGGCAGTCGCCACTGTCACGTGTTTCAGAGGTCAGGAAAGATAAAATTTGAGACTCTGTCAAATGGAGCACAAAGGAAGTTGCTGACCTTCAGAAAGAGAAGTTCCAGTGGAAAAACAGTGACAGAGCGAGAGTGAGGGGACCGAAGGAGGCGGCGGCAAAGGCACGCAGATAATACGCTATGGGGAGCTATTTCAAGACAATGGCTGTGAAACAAAAGGGGACAGATAAGCCGGCACATAAGAATTTTTTAACGGTAGAAAATAATTTTCGCACGTTTACATACTGATGAATATAAGCGAGCGGAGAAACTGAAGGTACGAGAGCAGGGGGCAATGTCCCCGAGAAGATGGGGATCCAGAATGCGGCTGGGAGGCTGGGCTTAGGACTGATGCCTCTTCCATTGGAACACAGGATAAGAAACGAAGACGCAGCGTAAATGCAGATTAAACGTGTAGGTGTAAGTACAAAATCACGTAAATTCGACCCTGATCGATTCCCTTCTCTCTGAGGTCATTAGGCCTAAGATGAGGTCATGAGGGTATGGCCCTCAGGACCGGGTCAGTGGCTTGGTGAGAACAGGCAGAGAGGAAGCGGCTCTCTGCAGGTCAGGGAAGGAGCGCTCACTGCGAACCCAGCAGGCCGGCGGCCGGCGGAGCTCACAGCCTCCACACTGTGCTGAATAAGCCCCTGTGTTTTTAAGCCCCGAGCAGACTGATGCAGCTTTTACGATGCA